GGAACAACAGCTCCCAGATTCACCCACAGACATGCCCCCCCCCCCACTCCCCGTTTTCTTACCCAATAGTCCTCACACTGGTCCGACACCACACCTGGTTTCATTTAAACTCAATCCCTGCAAAAGCCCCGAGCTCTCCCACCCTTTCCTCCCTTCTCCATGATACCCCCCATTGTCTTAACACACGGCCCACATCTTCACTTTTTTTTCTCTCTCCATGAAGCTACTGAAACTCTCGCTGTCCTGTCTATTCTGACATGAGGGATATTTATAGCCAGTCAAATTGAAGTTAATGGAATGTGCACAAAATTACAGCCGAGGAGAGACAGCGTGGAGACCCACTCGGAAAATGTATCAGCTTATTTGGCAGAAAGAAAATGGTGTTGTTTTTGGAAAGAATTACTGCAAACAAACTTGCTACCATTTTCTATCTTTGTTACTCACCGTATCTGCACAGAGCCAACTCATTACTGCACTTGGATTCATCCAGCCACTTCTCTTCTTGCAAAATGTGCGACATTATGTTGTAAAGTGGTTAAAAGATTGCTTAACCCTCATTAATCTAAAAGGTCAAATCTGACTCAGTTTTCTGCCCCCACCCCTCACCCCCCGTCATCGTCCCGCCTCCTCCCTCTTCTCCTCACTAGAACGAGAATCGAGTTTGTCAGTATTTTCACTGACACATCTGATTGGACTTGTTAAACATAAACAAATGAAGAATTTCTCAACTTCAACAAAGTCTGGGACGAGGTAAAATAAGGCAACTAAACTCTGGGAGCTCCGGTTGGTGGCAGATTTAGGAAAATAAAAAATTGGGTATAAAGGAAGCATCCAAGGGATAAGTAAAGAGGGATCAGGGGTTTTACGACCTGGCACTGAGATTTAGAGGAGCACAAATTTATATTAGTGCAAAATAGCAAATAATTTATGCGTCACAATCTAAAGTTAAAAAGAAAAACATGGGAGTCAGGAGAAATCTTTGTGTGTTAAGGCCAAGAGTAGATCTGCTGTATGTTTATGGTCCCCAAAACCGAAAGCCAATAGTAATGTGTTCTGAGGTCAGATATATTCAAGTTACATGTTAGTTTTGAAGAGATGGTGCATTAATTGTCCTCTGTGCAATGACAGGTTTTCTTTTCTAAATTTGCCTGATGAACATTTGAGAGCATCAACAAATTATTATCATCATTTTATTTTTTATTTACATTTTCCACTAACCTTCTCTGAAAAGGAGTTTGTTTTATTACTTTCTAAGAAGTTCCAACAATCATATCAAAATGTGTGTGTGATGCTTCAAGTGTCAAAGTGACAGATCCTAAAAAATAATCTTTTAACAGCTACACTGGTCAATACATGTTTATTAAAAGCTAACCTGCGCTATTTATATGCCTTAGAGGCAATTCCTGTGTGCTTGTGCTGCTTTTTTAAGGTAAAGCTCCAGTTTGTGTTTTGGAAAGCCTTTACTTAGCCTCTGGTTGTTTATTTGTCCTCAGGTCCTGAGTGGTGGCAAAGATGGCAGCTGTCATTACAGGAGAGGTTGTTAAAAGTCACACTGACTGCCCCCCAAGTGGACCAACTGTGCTCCCCCCCACAGGTTTGACCCCTTATGTCCACGGCCACCCACAAACCTCCCACACACTTGAACAGCTCCTCCAGACTCATTAAATTTGCTGCTGATATTTGTAGATCTCAGCAGGTTTTTAGATTAGAGCTGCAACTATGAAATATGACCACGGTAGAGTAATCAGATCGATGCAAGCTCTACTTTCAGTAGATGAGTCACTTGGAGGTAGATACTCAGAAAACACTTGAAAATATGTGTCACTGTGTCTGTTCAGTTTATGTCTAAACAAAAACCTTTAAGGTTATTGAAGTCAAGGACGTATTTATAAAGTTTTCAAGGGGCATAATTAAACTTTTTATCATAACATTGTGCAGCACTTTTTAGCTTCAGTGAGAATGATGTAGTAGCCTAAAAGGTTATACTTTACAAGTTTTAAAACAATATTTTCATTATTATTATTTATGTATGTGATGTATGCCTTCTTCCGTCTCTCATCCCAACATCAACATCTGTAAATCCCGTACCTGTAAAGGCTAAGTGGTAAAACCCCTCCTTTATAAAACAGAAGACAAAATAATCATATCAACCAGCATAAGACTTTACGAGATCACATAAAACAGGACGACAGTTTGATGTAAATGCTCGCATTTTATTTACAAACCAAATTTGCAGAACCTTGGCGGGACAGTCGGGGAGCAAACTGAGGCTAAAGCGATAATGGAGCACTAAAAAAAAACCTCAGAGGGTTCATAAAGTGGAGGGCCTAGATGAAGGCTACAGCAGGGGGGAGACACGGGCCAGGAGTGAGTAGGAGGCCAGTGGATGTGAATGTGCTTCAGTCGTGATACATTTTGAAGATGCAGCTTTTGACGACACCCATGTATCTGTCCCACACAACCTGGTGTCTGAGGAGCAGGGTAGAGGGAGGGAGAGAAAGAGAGCAAACGTCAGCCACTTACTCCAAGTCTCATGACAAAGTGTAATTGTGAAATCTGTGTGAAGAGGGTAAATGAGGCAATCTTTGTCCACTCGCAGTAATGAGGGGGGTCTACCTCTCTTTTTATGAATATCTCTTTGTTGAGCACGTAGTGGTGCAGAGCTGTGTAAACCCTTAACTACATTCCTGAGTGTTTGCATGAGAAACAAGGTAACTACAGTTTAAGAAATCGGGGGCACGATAGGGAGACCCCTGGGGGTAGAGTATGCAACTCAGTATTAGGGAATAATTTTAAAATGCTTACTTTATGTTTGTGTAAGGTTTAACGACTGCCAAAGTATATGTCATTCAGTTGCTGGCTGCTCACACTGTGCTCTCTCCACAATCAGGACTTTATTTTTAGCTCAGAAAGCCCCCTGGGGAACTGGTTTACCTTGGCAGGGTTGGTGCCATGCTCTGCCTGATAAGTTTTACAGAATAAAAGCACATTGACTTACTTGAATGTGTCAAGTATGTGCGCCGAGTTTGTGTAGTGAGTAAGGTAGAGTCTCATATCCGCAGTCGTCCATCGGTCTGAACGACACGGCTCAATAAACTGGAGGAGAGAAGGGGGGAGACAGAGACAGACTTTAAATTTGGCACAGAGCTCCAAAAACGTGGACAGGATGGTCTGCTTTTGCTTACACACATATACAGCGACATTTTGAAAATCCACAAACCTTCTCCACCAAATCAATGAAGAAATCTCTGACGTCTTTTGTGTTGGTTAACTTAGCAGCAATGTTGACAAGGCCTCTGGAAAGATTCTACACAGAAAAAAGACATGTCCATGTGCAAGTAAATGTGCTAGTACATGCAGGATATGATGACCGTGTGATTTTATTCTAACCTTAAAATTAGCCTCCATCTCATTAAAGGCTTTAGTCTTTCCTCTAAGAGCTGTACAGACCAGACTGAACAGAGGAGAAAACAGAAGCACAATGTTTAAGATTGAATGAAAGGCGTGAGAAAAGCAGCACCGTTTACATTTGTCAGCATAAATGTGCTTTTGTTACCTTTTGTGTTGATCCAGCAGATCTTTGTCTGTGATTAAAATCTTCAGTTCCTTCAGCTCTTGCAAAAACTCTTTGTCTAGATCGACGTCCATGTCTTCTACCATGTTATCTACAGAGACAATTTAAGGCTGACTCTGTCACATCAACTCAAATGAAATCGTTACATTATGACTTTATTATCACTATTAACCCTGTTTTCTTGTAGCTACAAGAATCATTTTCCTTTTTCTTTTCTATTTTTAAATTCATCCTCATTCTTATTCGGACTAAGCAAAGCCTTGAGGACCTCTAGTGGTCAAATGGCCTCACTGACAAAAGTAGTAATTCAGTATAAAATAAGTATAACATAAAAAGACATCTGTTGTCCTCATGTCAGGTATTCATACTTAATTCCACTAAAAATGTGTCGCACAGATTCTGGAATTTATTTCCTATTTTTGTTTCTCATTTGCCTAAGGCTTTTTAATTTAAATGTTGTTTAAATTTAGGCATAGTATGGTTGTCAATGTTAGTCAACTGCATCAGAAAAAAGGTCCAAGGAAAACCAGTAAAATCACTCACCAACCGCCCCAACAGTCCAGTTGTTGATAAGTTGCCCAGCACAGAAGGCAAAGTCTTGGAATGTGAGATACTGTAGTTTTCTTTTCCCCGTCTCGAAGCGATTGTTGGCAAAGAAAACGATAGCGGCATAATCCCTGAAATGAGAAGCAGAATTACAAAACTAAGCAAAACAAAACAAGACAGAATTTTTTAAGAATTTGTGTTTATGTATTATTATTATTTCCCTAAAATGAATACAATTTTGTCAAAAAATACTAATTGATTGGTCAACAACAACATTCTATATAATCAATATACTGCTAATACAATGTTACGAAGAACTCGAGCTTATTACTGAACGTGGATGCTGTTTGTGTCTGATGGTTTACCGAGCTAGCTTGTCAGAAAGAAGAAAATGCTGACGTATGTTCTCCACCAGGGGGCCCTTGAGTTCTTCCACAACCTTGAAAACTCGCTTGAAGTTGTCAAACTGAAGTTTAAGACATGATGCAAAGAATGTTAATAGTGTAAACCTTGCCCAACAGTTTGATAACACAACACAGTTTATCTAAAACGCTGAAACATTCATTGAAATTGTCATGGACAATGATTGCCCAGTAAGAACTTTAGGTTAAGTAGTATGGAAAATAATAAAAGTGGGACACAAAGTTAAACGTATATATATAGATATATATCTATATATATATATACACACACACACACACACACACACTATACCTGTCGTCTGCAGCTTTTAAGTGTCACATTGGTCTTGGCACTAACGTCATCCAAGTCTTTTTTGGTTCCTTTAGAAAGTTTTTTTCCCAGGACCTCGCGGACAAAAGCATCATCAAAAGTATAATATCTGACAAGAAAACAGAGGTTCAGAATAAAGTAAAATGTAGGCAAATTAAGTTGCATATCATAGAACATTCTGTCCTGATATTTAGATATTTTAGTTCACAGAAATTTACTTTAAGGAAAGAGAAAATAGAAATAAAAGTCAAATGTTGAATTAGATCATGTAAAAAGATTTGTTGTCACTGCACCTCTCTATGAGCACGACCTGTCGATGAGGTGGGATCTGAAACAGGAGCTGATTGGCCAGTTTGGCTGGACTGTGCAGCAGACGTTCACACATCTGGAAAGTTCTGTACTGGTCCATGGTGTCACTCAGCAAGACGTCTGCACTGGCTTCACACTCCTCCAGAACTCCTCCCTCCATTCTGACCTTCACTGCATCATTTACTGCAAGATATTTAATAAAACAATTGATTTATCTTTGTCCTTTTTGTGACAACATAGGCAGTGACTTCATGACCAAAGAGAACTAGTTTAGTCTTAGTTGGCCTAATTATAGCCGTCTGTTATTTTGCATATTATTTTTTCAGTCAGACATCCGTGATGGCATCACGTTTCCTCTTTACCTTTTGATTTATTTATTTTTTTAATTGTGTTCTGTATCGTGCGGATTTATTTGGACTTGAAAAAATGTTTTCTAAGTTATAACTCTGATTACTCTGCTACAGCAGCATCTAATCCACGTTCTTATTTTTCTAGGTGCCTTTACAAGTGACAAACGCTTGAATCGTCAACTCTTTTCCTGGTATGATGAGTGTCTCAGCAAATACAGTAACTCTTATACCTGTGTATCCATCCAACCAGAGCTGGTAAACCTCCTCGTCCATGATGGTGGTGTTACCCACGAACACGTCCAGTTCCACTGACATCTGCGTGAGTGGGAAGATCATCGGCTCAGGTAACCAGTAACAACCACTTGACAAACGCACTCACTAGTGTGATATTTACCTTGGAAGCGTCGTTAAAATTTCAGATTAAAAAGCTATAAATAACAGCGCGGTGGGTTTGGTTTAAACTATTATCCGAGACCAGTCTAACAGATCATGGCTTACTGAGCAGCTAACTTCCTCCATTAAAAATTAGCCCCCAGCGCTAAGATGCGTCGTAAAGAACAGTGAGGAGGCTGAGCAGATAGACGACAAAAGACGGGAAATACTTCGTTTAAAACAAGGGTGTGGTCAGAGAAAGATCGCACGTTTTCACGCGTTTAACATTAAAAATGATCCATTCAATGCTTGTTGTCATTGCACTTCTCCGTGTCAACAACAGCAGTCAGGCAAAGACTTCCGGTTTTTACGTCACGTGTGGACAGGCGTCGCAACGTAAAGTGTACGTTCATTTGAATACTCTATTGAATGTTCTTATTTTTTGTTTTTGTATTGATGATAATAATAAACATGTAAAACGTAAGACTTAGATAGAATTATTTTATATGCCATGTCTGCTATCATTACTTAAACCTTACAATTTGACAAAGGCTTTCTTTCTTCTCTTTCGCCTTTTCCTTTTCCCTTTTCTTTGTCTTCTTATTCCCTCTTTACAAGATCACCAGCTTTTTACCGTAAGTCTAACCTCCTCTATGCACCATCGAGCACGTCAGCCTCTAGTTTATCAGTGAATCATTTCTGGGATTGTTACCTTTCCCGTATCCCATATTCACAATAATTCTCAACGCATTTCCACCCCATCACCCGAAAAAGGAAAATATAACTAATGAAATGAAGTTATTTATACTCTGAAGGATATATAAGTATAGGCAGCATAAATGATTACGTGTGAGTCTCAGATTGCTCTTGTTACCATGGTAACACCGTGAGCCAATAAATCTGATGTTTCTATAATTTATTTTTGGGTACAGTCCATAAACTCGGCACTGCCTGCACAGTTTAGCACTGTGCCAGAGGTTGTTGCCCACCTGATATATTTTGTCACTCTACATATTTTATTTTAATATATATGTACAGATTTCATTACCCACACTATAATTATTGGGTGGGGGGTTTCTTATTATAGATGCAGATTCATATGCACACTACACTATTAATTTTTATTTATGAATGACAGTGTATTAGGCAATAGGGAAATCGAACATACTTGGTTAATTGAAATTAGTATTGCTAAATATTTTTTCTCTTTGATATAATTATTTTAAAAACTGTATGAATTGGTGTACATTAGTCCATATCTGCTATTACGTTTTACTCTACAACAGTAATAATATAGACCTAATTAATTTCTTACAGGTCTTAAAGTAGAATATACACAGCTGAACATTGTTTTGTTTTTCAGCTAAGGTAATTTTTATATTCCATCCCTCGCACCATATATTTTCTTCTATGTCTCAACTGATTGTTGTTGTTCGCACTAAACCTGTTGTGTTTTTTGTAGTTAGCAAAACATTTGCTAAATATAATGTGTTATACTTAGAAAATTATAGTCTAACATTATTATAAGGCTACAGAGCATAATTATATTTCAAGGTAATAACTTATTTGAAACTTTAAATTATGAACCGCTGTATTAAGCCATTAAGAAGTTATTTTTTCTCACACAAAGTGTTTCCTAAAGGGCTATTAGTCAAGAACTTGAAACATCCTATCAACACAGTGAATGAGTGGTCAAGGACAGATATGTGGGAGGTGATAATTATACTGTAAATCTGATGAACAGTATTTCAAAGGCACTTCCTTGAGAAAAAATATTTGGCCAAGATTCTAGCATGGGTTCTGAGAAATTATTTCAGCATTTCAGTTCCTCTTCCATTAACAGTGTGATTCATCAGATATGCTTGGAATGGAAAGACTGCAGCAAAAAACAGGAAAGGCAAAATGAAAGGCTAAAATATACTTCGTATATAGGGACAGGTCAAGAATAAACTAGGAGTAAAATATATATCATTTAAAAACTACGGCTGCACTGAGCAGTGTCATCTATTAAAATGTCCTCTTGGAAATGGGTTCATTCTTTAAGCATGACAAGAGCAAGGAAAACAGCAAATGGGCCATTGACAATGCTTCACTGGCCTTGACAACACTCAACCTAAACATAATCAAATGTGTTCGGGTTCACCTGGACAGGATGCTGGTGAAGAAGCAGCATCCTGAAAACAGAGATGGCATGTTTTTAAAAAGGCTTGAAAAACCTGTAAAGAGGATTACCTAAAATTAAAAAAAAATTAAAAACTACTTCACCTGAAAAATAATGGGTCTCATACTGATTGAATGTTTTAGATTGCGTTAAATAAGCTGTTTTATTGCATAATTAAACAAATTAAACAGAAAAACTCACAGCTCTTTGTGCCTGCTACTATGACCTTTTGTCATTTCAGTGATCCTTAACGCTCAGATCAGGTCAAATGTCCACACTAAGAACACTCAGCACACAGAGGTCTGACAATAGAGTCGTACGACAACAGCACTTCTTTACATTTGATCTCTTCCCTGTTATATATGCTTTTAGTTGTGCTGCAAAGTGTCCGATCAGAAATGCACGCGCACTTTGCCTGAGTGCACAAAATCTGTTCGCTGTTCCTACAGCGATTAATCTATAATAAATCCCCTTAAATCCCTTTCAACACCATCCCTTTCTGTTTCTGCCTGTGTCCTTTGAAATCATAACATGATAGCGAGGGGGAAAAAGACCTAGTCAACATGTCTTTTTGTCAGGACTCTTGCTGTCATTTCTAACCTCACATGACACCCTGATTTCATCCCCGACTCCCCCTTCACGGTTAACACCCTACATTGTTATGGCCTCAGCGAAACAATAGAGGTGGGACACAGGGCGGAAGGATGTGGCTGAATGCCTCAGCATAAACCCATGGAAAAAAGGCAGCAGTCATACTTTCCGCTAGAGTTCTTTGAAAAGTACAAAGTACTTTCAGGAGTCGTTCGTGTTACATGAATTGTCACCAAGAAGCTTAATTTTTGTGATTTTATTCCTTTCGGAGGAAAACTGCGGTTAACGTAAACACTAACAGGAAGTGGCCTTTGCCTACAAGTTTCCTGTGTAATCGCTGCAGATTGTCGTTGAGGTGGTCTCTTTGGAGGATAGTGAGGAAGGTGTCTTTGGATCCGAATGGGGGCACACGTGTTCCTCACAGTGTGGACACATGAAATAAATCTAGATTCTCCCAATTATCCGATCCTTCTGTTTTTAATGACATTCTCTTCTCAGCGTGATCGATAATTGCCTGTCAATTAAGAGCACGTTATCAGATTGGTATGTCGAAGAGCCAGTAGTTAACCCTCAGAGAAAACCGCAAACATCCCGATTACTATCTATGAAGAGTCAAGCTGGCTGTCATCATGAAAAGAAAAGCTTTCGGAAACATCCTACAAAATAAGATTAGCAGCACGTCCCTTGTCAATTCATCTTTAACACAACGCGTTATTACACCTATTATTATACTAAAGATTTGGTTTATAATAAAATGCATATATGGATTTCGTTCTATTAAAATGTTTCCTTTTGAGCTTAATTTAATGAACATTTTATTTTAAAAAAATGATAACCCCAGAGTCAATGTAATGACTCATTTGTTCCAAACTTTGCCTTAAAAAATAATGTTTTACTTTGGTTGAATTATTGCGTTTGTATCGGGGTGATTTAACTGTATTATATTGTTATGAATGTTACGGTTAAAACTGATAGGTTTACATATTTATAAGAAAATACATCACCCAACAGACTTATTTTGGATTTCTTAATTCACAGGTTGTCAGTGGTTAATCAAATGTTGGGTTCTGTATTTTATTTTAAAGAGGATATATACTGGTTTCCGGTGTTCGGTACTTTAGTTTGACGCGCAGCTGCAGCTGCTGCTCAGCGGAGTCACAGCCGAGAAGTGGTGGAGGCAGGCGGACATTGTTGCTTTAACAGAATGAGCAGTGATTGTACTGTGATTTGCTGATTTATTTTTGTATAATTTTTCAATAAGGAAACGTTAGGAATACCGGAAACAATATACAAAAAGACGACCTAGGTGCAGAACACTTCGGACTCATTGTTTTTCTGCAGCCACCCGTGGAAGTGAGTTAAGTAAACCGAAGCGATCGCAGCCTCCTGAGAAGACGATGCCAGCCACGTAAAAATCACAACATCGGTGGAGTGAGTGTCCCAGCAGCCAGATTAAAGCTCCGTGAATCTGTGGACCGTTTGTTTTTTCAAAAACGGCTGTTATCTTTAGAACACAGCAAGAAGAGGTAACACCAGGACAGTTGTGGCTCATTGTATTCTTTCGGCCCTCTGCTGCTGCTGCTGCTGCTGCTGTTGTAGAGAGGATGGCAGTGGGACATTAATGAGGGTCTGCCGTGCTGTTTCACACACGACCTCATTAGGGAATTATCCACCGAGAAGGAACTCTGAGCTCAGTTTAAAAACAGGCCGCGGTGGAAGGAAGAAAGCCATCTAAATAAAGACATCACATGTTTGTGCCTCGACTTGGCCTCCGGTGTTGGAGTGATCATCACACAGGCTCGACGACATCCACCAGACGAGATGACGATGAGGAGCATCGCGGTTTAAGAGCCTTCTGATTTAACATATTCTCAGGGAGCATCGGTGGGTTTCATTGTGAAGAATGGGCAGCAGTGACGGCGGTGAGATCGTTAACAGAGAGCTGTCGAAGATGTCTGACGAGGATCTGCTGGCGTGTTCCAAAGAGGAGCTGGTGAACCGGCTGCGTAAAGAGGAGTCCGAGAAGATTTCAGCGCTCATCCAGCGAGGCCGGCTGATAAAGGAAGTAAACAAACAGCTGCAGGGACACCTCCTGGAAATCAGGGAACTCAAAGTCATCAATCAGCGCCTGCAGGAGGAGAACACAGAGCTGCGGGACCTATGCTGCTTCCTGGACGACGATAGGCTCAAAGTGAAGAAGCTGGCCCGGGAATGGCAGCTCTTCGGGCACCACGCAGCCAAAGTAATGCGGGAGGACCTGGGCGGGTACCTGAAGAAGCTGGCTGACCTGGAACGCATGCAGGACGGGCTGGTGAAGGAGAACTTGGACCTTAAGGAGCTGTGTCTGGTGCTGGAGGAGGAGTGCGTCAGCAGGAGTGACTCCAGCCCCGGAGGCTCCACAGAGCTAAACCTGCCCTGCATGGTGGCCAGGGACTTGGGGGATGGGAGCTCCAGCACAGGGAGCGTGGGAAGTCCAGACCAGCTCCACCTGGTATGCTCACCTGATGACTGATGGACATTTATGTCAGGCACTGACAGGAAAACACACAGACTTTCCACATTCTTCTGATGCAAATCATAGACTGTATGTAGAAAATGGACGGAGTCACCTAGTTGCAAACATGAAGCTGCAGGACTTGAGCTGAAGAACTCTACTGGTTGTTAAGGTAACTCCAGAGGAATGGAAATTCTATGTGAAAATAGGGCTCATTCTCACTTTATTCACAGTGCAGTAAACGTGTACTCAAAGGGTTTATGGTCTACATTGCTAGCTTCAGGTCTTCTGCAGTAAAAGAATCACTTCTAGCCTACGCCCTTGTTCTGTGGCATCACACTGAATACTGATAATGACACATTTAAACTCTTTTTTATCCTTTATTTCAAATGTCTTAACACGCGTCCTGGAGTTGATGGATGGAGTATGGAAATTGATAAGTTAAACTGTCAACCACATATAACTGTTGATTGTAATGGCCAATACTTCAATAGTACTTTTCTGATTCTGATGACCACTTCGATCTTTTTCCCTTTAAGAATTGCCATCCACCTATTTACTGTACAACCACAAGGGGGTGGCATGTAAACCCACAGGGTTTGGAATCAATCCCACAACCTTCCAGTTCAAAAACAACTGCAATGGCTACTGTTCCACCGCACAGAGAGAGAACCTGATATACCCAGGCAGTTGCCAGATTAAAGGCCTAAAAGTAGACCTGAAGTGTTCGGCCCGGTTTTATGGGCCACATGTGTGATTCAAAGACAAAAGTCTTTCTTTCTTTCTTTCTTTCTTCAGTCCAGCTGTCACCTCAAACACGTGATCCATTCTGGTTTTGTTTCGCCTGTTGTGCTTGTTGTTGTCCCGTTTCTACAACCAAGGACCCCTGCCCAGGACCACAAACCTTTTCTAGTGATTAAAAGCTGGTTGTTCAGATTGTCTGTCAGCGTTCCCGCTGCTTCTACAACAAAGACTATGCAAACCAGTCCTTGGATTTGTGAAAAGGTGCCACCCAGATCCTTCTTCTGAACAAAATCTTAAACAAGAGATTGAAATCAGCTTTTTAGGAAAACGTTTATTGTTGGTGTCATCAATGAAGTGAGAAGCACAGTAGCCTTATTTTTCTCATTTAACTTTCATTCATATGGAGTTCCTTCTACAGCTTCACTGCAGCCTGCAGTTGGACAGCTGCAGCCGTTTCTTATATACAGTCTGTGATGAAGAGGCATCAAAAGGCCTGACTACTGCAACAATTTGTGGGCCTCCACTTTTCACTTGACAAATATTCTGTGCTGTAGACAATTTTTGGACGTTAAAAAAATATTTGCCAGAAAAATGATGAATTTTACACTCTTTTCTTTTTCTATGGACTCGTCTGTTTTGCTGGGGAATCCTTTTTCAGTGTGTGGAAAAAATTGGACCAAAAAAGTGGGTCACATATATAAATAATCTCATGCACTGGACTAGACTACACTGGTAGAAGCCTTTTTCTATTGCACTGGAGAGCGTTATCATGGGTCTTTACATCAGTGATCTAAAGATTCCTATATCCAGTTTTGAGCCATATTAAGTCCACTGAATTCCAATAGCACTGATCTAGGCTTACGTGAGTTGTGATAAAAAAAAAGATGAAAAGATTTGATATTTGTTATTCCTATTGATACCCAAAAATGTGTAATATTTTATGCACTCTCTTCCTCAGGGCAGGATTGGAGTGCCATATGTGCATGATGATAGTCACATATTTAATGATGTGCACCTGGTGAACCAGTCTGGACATGGAAACCCTTTAGGTTCACTGCAGGGGCTGCTGTACATACTCTAACATGTGCTCCATGAGCCAGCACACTTGTCAGGACATAAGAGCCTGTGGACCTCACTTTGATGTGAAGGAGTTATATTATCACTTTTTTAACAAAAAAAAAAAAAAATCCAACTGGAAACTCTTTTTATGAAACTGGAAGGTCTAGAACTTTTCTTGCTTTCTCTTCTATTCTAGTCAAGCCAAGCAGTTTTTATAACTACATTGTTGTTGTTGATGGTGTTTCATTAGTCTATCACACTTTCTTTATGTCGGGCAAATTTCAGATTTCTACTCTGTATCCCATGCTTTGTATTTTACCCCGTAGGAAATTCAACTTTCTTATCTTAACTCCTTCTTTGTCTTGATTTTAACTAGATCAACTAACACAATTCAGTTTTCAAATCTGTAGATGCACATGGATTAGAGGAGATTTCTTTCGTTGTTAGCTGTTTTAATTGGTGGATTTCACTTGTAGTGCATTGGAGAGCTTTAAATACATTGGTTATATGACATTGTGTCCTGGTGTGATATTTTCTTGTGTGTGTTCAGACTAGTATTTCTCATAAAGCAGCCAGAGTTCATGTGTGTGTGTGTGTGTTTGCCCAGGGATTCTATCTTGGCTGGGGGGTTTTCAAGACTGACTGACTAATGGATGTTCCTCAGATTTATTTTTAAAGCTGTTAGCTAGGAGGGACAGTAATGCATTTACTGCCCTAATTTGTTCTAATTTGATCTTTTTTCCTCATGGTCTCAATCTCTCTCTCTCTCTCACTCTCACTCTCACTCTCTCTGTCTGTCTCTGTATCTCTCTCCCCCTCTCTCTCCATTGCTATCTTTCCCCAGCTTCATTTTGCACAGAGCGATCGTATACCCCAGAGCCCTTTACTGTCTGAATTATGGAATAATGGAGTAACAGTGCACTCTCTGCGTTTACTGTTAAAAGTATACTGTGTAAGATTTACAGTTAATTAATTTATATTCCATGTATGTCAGAAATTAAATCTGAAATCATTGTTGTTGGGCTTTCAGGACTGTAAACCTGCCCGAGAGTGGAAATGTGGTCTTTATTGGTCCACAACACTGACTTAAACAGGTAGGTGACCACTAGAGGGCCCAGAAAGGTAGAGTGTTGATGAAAGTTTTAATTTGTTGAAACATTAAATATTTTATTTTCCTTTTATATTTATGCGCATATTTAAATGTCCTTTAATACAAACTAATTTGATCCAATGCGTTGTACAGTAGTGAGTTGGTGCTGTTACATCAATTTGTTTTTCCTTGGCTTTAAAAAAAAGTGTTTTCATCCCTGCCCAAGAATGAGTCTCTTTGTATTCATATCAGGAGAGCGTCATCTGTAGGTCGGCTGCCGTGTTGGATCACATGTGAGCCCACAGTAGACAAACTATATGTATGTCAGCAGTTAGAATGATAAGTGAATGATACTGTATGTTGTTTTATTTTTGATTAGGTTTTGGTTACATTTAACCATTTAACCCTGGAAAGATAATCTTTATGACATGGAAATGTCAAAGTGATATTTTTTTACATCTAGAAGTTATTTTTAACTTTTTAAATTTTGTCATAGAGCAATGAAAAAATCCTGAAGTGATCCCATGATAGGAGGTTCTCTTCATACATTCTTAGAAGTCCAGCACATACAATAATGTATGTTTATTTTGTAACAGTGGCAGTTAGTCCCAGGACACCTTGTTAAAAGAACAGGTAGACAGATGGATAGATAGTCAGGTAGACAGGCTGCCAGGTGAATGAATGGATGGATGGACGGATATGAGAGTCCATGCAATCTGTCTTGAGCATTTCAAGCCATTTAAGTCAAACGGCATTAAAACAATTAGGAATACTGACATTCTATTACACTGAAAACACTGCATGCTCACTTTTAGTAAGCATCATCAAAACATCATCAGTTAAATCAGATCATTGGCTGCTTAGATAAATTACACACATTTCACATTGTTCTTAATATTTCTTCTTTAATGTATTTTTTGTGAAGAAGTACATTTTTGACAATCACGGAAGTAAGGCACTGCCCACCCAAACAGGTTGTTCACCAAAAATATATTACACTCTCAGAAATAAATACACGCTTTTGTCATCTATATCAACTCCTATGGTCCAGCCTTAGTGGTCAATAACTTTCATAGATTATATCAGCATTCCTTAAAACAGATTCATACAAAAATATGGACCATTTAGTTTCTAATTCCCTCTGAGAAAACATTTATAAAGTGTACAAAAGTGTTGTAACAATGTAACAAATTATTATGTGCAGCACTTCCACAAATACAGTGTAATTATATTTGCATGAACTCAAATGTATTGGATGTGTACCACTGTTATTTTTCCAATAACTTGTAAAGTCTTCTAGACATTAAGACCTGCATGCTTCTATATTAGAACATCAAACAAACTCCTTCAAAATAGATTAGCTTTTTAAACATTAGAAATATATAAAGTCTCTACAGCTATAAAAATGCAAAAAACAAAAACAGAGTGTAACATTTATGTCCTGATAATGTTGCTTTTTAAAAAGTTGAAATAAGGCAGATTTACATCATTCTTCTTGAAATCAGCATTTTCACTTTCGTAAGGTTTCACAAACACATTTGTGTGTACCATACTGCGTCTAGATGAACATTAGTGTTTTCCCAGGAACACAGGGACATCAATCAGAGAGTAAGGATGGTCGGTGAGTGCAGGGAGTGATCTGATTGGTCACCGCTGCTGCTGCTGCGGCGGTGAGCTACACCACAGGCCTGGGGGGCCTGATGGATGTTACCTTGAAGTGATACAGCATGGGCTGTGGTGGAGGGGTTGGTGTCCAAAGGGGCTGAGGGATAGGTGAAAACCATTCCAGCAGTGAAGGGCATCAGTGAAGGAGTAGAAGTGAGAATGGGGGTGTGAAGGGACTCAGATTCAGTGGCAGCAGCAGCAGCAGCAGCAGGAGCAGACATGGTTGCAGACACAGTGGGGATGGTTATCTTTGGTTTGGGTTTCTCCATCTTTACTGGTAGTTTTATCTCAGGCCTACTGGAGTCCTCGGGCTCTATTTTGATGCACCCCAAAGAGGAAACCGAGGGAGTTGGATCAGAATCAGAATCAGAGTCCTCTATCTTACAGATGGGACGATGAGCTTCCAGAACCAGCTCGAGCTTCTCTTTCTCCTTTTGTAATTCAGCTATTTCTTTTTGGAGACGGGACTTTTCATCTTCCAGCTGGTCAGTCTCCTACACCAGGGAAAGCAGAGAAAGACATGTGTCAGTGTTCCATATCTGACTCAGACTGAAATCATGACACCTTATAGATTATGTAAATGTCTACTCACGCTTTGGAGCGAATCTGTCAGCTCCCGCCGACGATTACGGCACTTTGCTGCTGCTAATTTATTTCGCTCTCTTCTAATTCTGCGTCTTTCCATCTCTTCAAAAGATAACTGTAACAAAAAATAAATATATTTAAAGATAAAAAGTACAGGTTAGTTTGTTTGTTTGTATAAACAACTGTCTAGATATCAAATGCAGAGAGACAGAGCGAGTCATACGTGACACAGGAGAAATACTACCACCATGTGTCTGCTGTGAGTCATCGCAGTCATGGCCGCGGATATATTTGGTAACGTCTGGGCATTTATGCCTTTGTACCACCCCAACTCTGAGTTCTGCCGAAGTCTGGATAAATCCCACTCATCCGATATTTCCCGCCCCTTATGTATGATGAGTCACGCTCACACTCCAACGGTGAGTCAGGTGTGAGTCATAGAAAATGACTTGCCCCCTGTGAGTCACATGACATCTACTTCCTGTACCATAAAATTACATCTCCAGTTAGAGAACAGTGAGTGGGATTGATGCCAACGTGTGTCAGGCCAAATGAAAAAGAAAAAAAGAAGAAGCTTGTTACTGTATAGTGGTGACAGAAGTGATCATAGTGGTTTCTGTGGTTGCGGCTGTGTGAAGTTAGTTATAGTTCAGAAACTAAATCTTCCCGTTTTCCTAACAAGCAGCAGATCGTTACAAACACAGCGTCATGGGTGATAACCTGATAACTGTGAGTCAACACTGACTCAAGCTAAACAAAAAAAGAGAACAAGAACAACAAACATGGTGTGTGTTACACTTACCCTCCAATAATATTCACATGAAATATTAGATATAATTAAATTAATCTCCCCCTGTTTCTGTGTGGATTATTAATGTGTGTAAGGAAACGTTGGAACATTTGTGTCACAGGGTATGACGAAGAATTACAACATCTACGAATTACAACATTTACACACGTATGACTGAGCTTGTTCTGACAACTATCTGAGTCCCCTCTAGGAACAGGGTCATATTCTAAACCATCAGGGCCACTTTAGTTAATCCATAATCCCTACTTTTTAACAAATATGTTTTTGGGATTAGTGTCAGACTTTCATATACAGTTTCTATGCTTACATGTTCATCTGCTCTGCGCCTTGTCAATCCTGTAGTGTGGGCAGCGGCTCTTATGACCCCTGGTCTAAGAAGGTGGGACTGGGAAGTTGAGGGACCTAGGCTCCGTACCCCAGAGAGGCCTGGATAAGGAGGTACTGGTGATCGTGAAGGTCCTGGTGAATGCATGAGGGAAGGCTGGACCAGCCACTGGAGGTCCTGGTTAGATGTGATGGCATTGAGGCTCGGCACAAACTGGCTGCTGCTACCTGCCATGACGAACTTCTGCAAAAAAGTTAAACATAAATTAACTTCTATAAAACTGACAAATTGGTGTGAATATGGTGGTAAATTATGATTCATTCCTAGCCTTTCGTAGCCTAGCCACAGACTATGCAATACTCGTTGTCCTAGGTGTGACCCGCCTTTGGCCTGCTGTCAACTGGGATTAAATGGGGAGTTGGAGATGAATGAATGATGAAAGATTAACAATTTAAAGCAAGAATTGCCGTAAGCTGCTCCCTTCTTTAAGAGGTTGCCTCATCAATTAAGCTGCATGATTATGGCGCAGGCTTTTATGCCATAAATCTTCTGTAAAAATGTAAAACATGGAAAAACGTTTTTTGGATTTGAGTAGGATATGGCCATCAGAATATATTGTACTGAGGAATTATACAGAATTTATATTGTATGAGCACATAAAACTATATATAACATTCGTAACTTATGAATATGTATATATACTGTATTATACATAACTGTATAATATATATATCCTAGCCATATACAGACAGTAGTAACACTAATAATAGTCATTATTATTATTAGTAGTAGTATAAATCTAAAAATTAAAAAGTAATATAGTAATATAAAAGTTAGTATTAATTTCAATTAGTATGATAGATGTTTCATTCAAGTTTCATTCACCTGCTCCTGTTGACTGCTGGTGGCACTGGAGCTTCCCGGGGACCCGGTGTTTGCCTCAGTCACCCCGCCAGTGTAAGTTGGGTTGCCTCGTCCTTGACTCCCAAAGTTTCTGTACATCCTTACTGTCAAATTGGTTTGCCGAAATAGGTAGGTTCCAGATGGTGTTAAGCCCTTCGAAGTTTCTTTCGAGTTTTGGTTAGAATGTCAGTTCAAACTTGGGGTAAACTTACCACCTTCGTATGGCAAGTCGGTAGAGTCCAAGACGGAACGTTTTCAAGGGGGATAAGGAAGAGGAAATCGCCAAGCCCTTTTTTTAAATCGCGCTAAAACCACTGTAAACACTTTCAGCACATCCTGCTTTGGTTAGTCATTCGAATAATAGTCAGACTCTGGCGCTGGTGGCAAAGTTGTAAACTCTTAAACCGGGACGATGGGTTTACCACGCCCCCCTGGAATTACGGGAAATAGTGTTGTCTGCGATCTGTCATGAATCGGAACCACGTGCAGTGACGTCGTTTACCATATATGGTGAGAGTTTCCTCAGAGAGCGCTTCTGACAACAGGGATTCCTTAGTTTGACTTCTGCTCTGATTCTGGTGTTTTCTGGTTTCATTTCAGACAGCGGAGAAACATAACCCACGTTTCAGTTTAACTAAGGAAACAATTTAATATAACGTTTGTGTGGGAAACACGCATACTTTCTATGATGATATTATTCATAATTTAATTTCAAAGTAATAATATTGCATTAGGTGTTCGTTGATTAGAGATGTTTGAGACAAAATAATTATTTTGTATACTGTATTAATGTAATTTATTCAATAATACTAATAATACTAGTATATTTATGTGCTAATCCTATCTTGTTTAGCTTATCACTGTATGACCACCCTATACAAAATATATAGATTTATTTTATCTTCTTCTTTTCTCCATTTCCTTTTAGCTTCTTACTTCTCAGGTCACCACAGTGGGTCATCTGCCTCCATTATGTCCTTCATTTTAACCTAAATTCTGAAATATATTTAAATTATTTGTATTCTGTCAAAATAGAACTCTTAAAATCTAGGAGTAACAATAAGTCTAGTAATTTATGTTACATTACAAGACTTAAGTTGTAATGCAATGATTCTTTCTATATCTTGGTAAAATATTGACTAATTATATTATTATACTTATATATATTATTATACTTATTATATATAATATTATACCTATTGTATATTAGTATGCATATTATATATATATATATACATACCTGTATATATAAATTACATATAATAATTAACTTGAAGATAAAATGGTAGTAATTAATTTGTTACTCTTATTAACATTAATTGAAATATTATAGTATGGTTGAATTCATATGTGTAGAAGCTAAAACAAACCTATTACAGATGGAGAGTCAATCAACATTTTACTGCCCCCCAAACAGCCATCTAGAACCAAACCAGTAATGCTTCATTTTGAAGGGTGTGAATGCTGTGTTACGAAATGCTCTGACTTATAAGATGTAGGCAGCACTGGGTGCGTGTGCCTAATGGTGTTAAGACTTTTGGCAGCCACTCTCACTTTAAAAACCACTTCAATGTGCACACATGCCTGTGGAGATGAGTCAGGCAGCTTGTACAGCGCCGCTTGTTTATTTCACCATCCCCATCAATTACTGGTTCTTTTTTTCTTTTCCTACTATTTTTTTTCTTTGTATCTTGCCAGCACAGTATAGTACCTTCTAAAGATTTCAAAGTGCAGCCTGTAGATTTGGTAACCTTGTTCTGCTAACAGCTGCTGACCTTGCAGTCCCAGAGGACAGAGTTCCCGTCAAAGGGTGGTTTTTCTTTGCTGCTGACTGTTGCACTTGTGTCTCATATTACTGTGAATTATACTCCAGTAACATATGATTGTCATTAAACCTAAAATGACCCTGAGATGAATGTTTAGAAAGTGGAATCATACATTTCTTCTAAAAAAAATGTAAGTGGTTCACATTCGTTTTGTTGTTTTTGTTTTGATACGACACATGTGGTTTCACTCTAGACTAAGAATAAAACTGCACAAAAAGGTGTAATTTGATAAAGACTATACAGATCACTAACCCATGCATTCAACCGCTGGGTCTCATTTTTCACATTCAACAATACACTACAAACAGTCACCCTCTCACACCCTCGCACACCCCCGCATCAATGATGATACACATGAGATTTCTGTTGTTTTCGGTGGGTTTGGTATCACATTTTGACAATATGGGATAAAGGTGAGCGTGAGATGAGTAAGTCTTCAGGAATGCAATGATGACACACTTAGCATGTCTGTAGTACATGACATGTTACAACATGTTGACAACCTTTATTCCACTTCTCATTACACATTAATCTGCCAAACTGCTGCTTTAGGAATTATTTAGGCTCTGTAGTATTGGGTATGTGCCATAAAACTCTCTTTCTCGCTCTTTATCTCTCTTTCTCTCTCTCTCTCTGCCATTTAGACAACAATCATGAGTGAGGCAGCCAGAGTTTGCTACAAAGCATTGTGACCCACAGGTTCTTGGAAGCATTATGAATTTCTTTAAATTCAAAAGGTGGAATTGATAACTTAATTGATAACGTAACGTAATTTGGCCAAAAATGACAGTAAAAGTACAGTTGGCTGTGAATTTTGTTTTTGTAGGTGACAGTGAAAAAGTGAATTTTTAAACCTGTGGTTGATTTAATACAAAGCCATCTTGTAAAATAACTTTCACCTCAGTTGCTACAATCTGGGGGGTAGGGACAACAGATTTAGGATGATGTTCTACTGCCGCTTTTGGAAATGACATAAGAGTTTATCTAGAAAAATTAACAGATTGGAACAATGACATCAAATGAACTGACAGAAGGACTCCATTCTCTTTCTCTGACCACTGCACTGAACACTGAAAGTTTCCACAAAGTCACTTTTATCTCATCCATGCAGTTTGCTCTTTTAGGGGAAGCTACATCCTTCACTCTGACAGGGCTTGGGTTGTAGCTGCATCAAGCCAAATATGCAATAAATGTTTGGACCACTGTCAGTTAGTACTGTCTGCTGCTTAAGGTTATTTTAAAGGATATCTTGAAAGTTCCTCAAGTTTAATCAACACTGATTGCAGCTCTGTTAATTACTCTAGGTACAGTGGATTGAATCTCCAAACATACTGTACAATACTCTCATATGTCAAGTCTTGTACAGGTATAGAAAAGAGTTTATTTTTTCAGCATGGAGGAACATGTTGCACAACGTTGAGGAGCACACATTGCAAAACCAGTGTGCTAAATTTTAATAAAAGAAGCATAGACAGCAAACAAGGTTAATAAATGTTTAATATGTCAGAGGTAAGAGATGTCCAGTCCTGGGAAACATATGAACAAATGGAACTGCATTTATTGAACAGAGTTTCTGGTTGCTGAGCCTGCACCAACACATTGTGTCCCAGACAGTGTTCATCTGTTGAATATCTTCCCTCCATAACCACGACCTCAAAGAGGAAGTGTACAAGTAAAAACCTACAACAAATATAAAATAAAATAAAACCTTATTAATTTAAGATTTTTTTTTAAAATTCAGGACCTTAAACTTAGATCTGGTAAAAAAAAAAAGAAAGAATGGATGCATGATCTCTAATGTATACTACTTTGTTTCCCCCTCCTACTTTTGAACTCAGTGGGTTAGATTCCATTTCAATTCACTCACCCAAAAACCTCCAGTTTTCCACCCACACCCACATACTCATCCCACACACGTGCTTAACATCATTAAATCATGCCACACACACACACACACACACACACACATACAGAAGCAGAGTTTAATTTATTTGTTTTAGCGGGTGTAGCAGTTTGTGCTGTTTTCTTTTCACACATCGGTACAATGGATGGATTGTCTGGCTGTGATTGAACATCACGGCTGTTCTTCTTGTCTTGATCACACTTCACTGTGGCAACAGTAGCATTCTGTCTTTTCCCTAATTCTCATAAAATGAATAACTAAAGCAGACATCATCAACAGTGTCAACAGATATAAAAACATCTTTGGTTAAAATATATAAATACTTGGTGCCTCATATTTCCCAACTATACATAAACTCAATCTAAAGAACAACAACCTTGCAGCAACTTTTTTTTAAAAATACACCAGTGCAGCACAGAAGGTATAGCTTAAACTGTGTAATACATTTTATCACTTAATCCCTTTCATGGGGAGCCAATACTAATAGCCGTTGGTTAGCCTTTCAGTTACTTTTCTAATATTACTGTTAACCAATCCAGACAATCCACTGAATCACTGTAATACATTTTAGAGCAGCTTTATGTACAGTATTTCACCTGAAGCTCATCTGTATAAATGACTGCCTTGAAACTTTCTGAAAACAATTTCAGGCATATCAGAACGGTTGTGGAATTTTCAAGGCAACGTTAAATATTTTAAGGGCATTTTGCCCTGAAGAAGGGAAAAACCAAGTGTGAGTTTTAATGACATAAAGCTTTTCAAAAGGAAAAATGATGAGTAATAACAGTGAGTAAGTACATTGTCATTATAAATGAAGCCAGTGGGCCTCTGATTTCACTACAAAATATACTGATTGAATGAGAGGCTACAGTTGGTTTTCTTTAATTTGTTGTAAATCTGTGTTTAAATGTTTAATGATCATTGGCCATAACTATCTATGGGCAGCCTATATTTTATACTGTTAGAAATGTACTTTTTTAGAACAATAGTTCCAAAAACACAAGTTAACTGCATCCTGTATTTAATTGAAATAAATATAGGCTAAACCAAAGTTGGGTTATAGAGAGAGCTAATGATTTAAAAAACCAATAAGGATTACTCTTGGCTCTATTAAAGCATGTATGTTCTATGATCTTATCATAATGCTTTATGTAAAACACAGTAATATTTCTTAATGACTTCACAAAAACTATTAATTCTCCCACCACTTCTGATCACAAGTGTGAAAAACAGATGTATTTTCTCCTCCTTGGAGCAGCTGTTCTCATTTGTTCTAGAAAGGAATAAAAAAGACATCCTTGTTAGGTGTGAAGTTTGATATTACTTTTTTTTAAAAAAGGAAGAAATTAGTCAATGAATAGACAACGCAAGAAAATTCTTACAGGGTAAAGATCAACAGTAATACTTATAATATGCTACATTATACAACTATTGGCAAAAATGGGGTACACAATAAATACATAAATAAACTGCAAGGTGTTTCAACGAGTCAGTGTGTACACAAACATTCTTTACATAGCATAACAAAGGCATGTTCAGTGAATTCCTGTGTTGACTCATAAGCAGGAAACTAGGGCGGGGCATTCACGTCACTTCCATTTAAAAAAAAACGATGTTGATAAGTTGATTGCAGCTGATGAAATTTGTAGGAGCATTCCCACAGGGCACAGTCCAGGTTGTTCTACATGTTCATGTATGGACAGGCCGACAGTGAAAATCATCATTATCATCGGAACAGCTCAGGATTTTCCTTAACTACAGTGAATTGGGGCCATGTTGGGATGACCAGTTGAGACATTGCCCTCTGTCAGCAATTTCTCCATCTTCTAAATCATGAAATTGGCACATTTCTGCCACAGTTTTGGGATTCTCATCTGGTTCTGAGTTGAAGGTTCTGATATAGTCCATCTAAACCTAAATCCCAGGTTGGGTTGTGTTAGCAATTACATCAGATGTAAAAAAAAAGAAAGGATAATAATAATACTACTACTACTAATAATAATAATATATAATTATAATTATATAATAATTATATATTATTATTATTATTATTATTATTAAATACAATAACAACTGACGTCCTCAATGAGTGTCGTCCTCAGATCACTAGAGCGTGTTTTTGTGCCACGCAGGCACCATGACGTTGCAGCATTGAGTGGGCGGGGTCAGTGCTCACATTCTGGTAGCCACGTAGCTAAGCTGCTAACGTTAGCTGTGCAGGTAAGATCTCCCATCATGTTATTTTATTTGTCAGTAATGCAACCTTAAACCGACGTAATTTTGTGTCGGAGTTACCTATTTTAAAATGTTTTCATCGACTGTCTTGAACCGATATTAAAAAATACATAACTTATAAAAGACATATTTGTTCTTGTTAGCTAGCAATGAGAGGCTATTTTAATAAGTTTTAACGAACGTTATCAGGTAGTTACCAAGTGTCGGCACACAAATTTTGCGACTTTGTTTCTTGCTTGTATGACGTCTATGTTAACTGCGAACTGTCGCAACATAACTGCTGTTAGTTTGGTAGAATAAAAAAGAACGTACGTGGACAAGCAAATGTTGCTAACGTGTCACTGTTGTTTTGTGTGAAGCTAACGTCAGGGAGCAGAACCATGGACCTGCCACATCATGGATACAGAGCCTGTGAGTACAGTGAATCCAGTTGATCAATATTAAAAAGAAATAGGTTAAACACCCACCCACAGTATCTACTTCCTTCTTTCTAACTCGATGGGAGTACAAACTCTTCCTCAAACTGTGATCTGCACAAACACGTTAGACATTTCCTGCTGTTTACACAATGTTGTACGTATTTAGTAATTTAAATCATGCCAACTCATGCTTAGGACTATTGCACAAAATGTACTACATTTTAAAAATGAACTTGAAGATAGAGTATACTGAAATCCTGGGTCAGTTGTCATAAACATGCCATGACACTCGCTCTATCAGGTTAAACACTGGTCCATTTCCAAGGCCAACGGAGGGAAGTGTATTAATGCAAATTTGCTATTTGTTATGGTAAATCTACTTTTGCAACTGTTTTGTTAAAAACTTTCCACAAACGTATACGTTTTCATTTAGGATGAGCCAAATTTCTCAATAACATATTGTGAAATATATGACAGTTGAATCTACTGTAAGTTAGCACATAATCACCTCAAGACAGTTTGAGGATATGTACTCCTCCCTTGTGTGAATTTGCCTAGAAATTTCTGGAACTGCAGCAACAGTGAGAAACGGTGCAATGTTTTCACTTAAATTCTGGCCAATATAACAAATAGAAATAAAAATCAAAATGATTCTATCATTGAAGCAGTTTTGTTCTGACTTGCTGCATCTTGGTTTTTTCTGCAGCTAAGTCGAGAGGTCGTTCAGCTCCCCCCAACACGGACTCTGTCCTGTTTGACGATACAAGTTCTGCAGCACCAGCTATGAACAGTCAAGGTTACTACACTCCTGGGTACAATATGGAAGCACCAGCCAGTGACATGCAGGGGGGTGCTGCAGTGAACAACCTCTTTACCGACCCGATGGCAAATGCAGCCGTGATGTATGGCTCCTCCTTAGCAAACCAAGGAAAGGACATGGTAAACAAAGAGGTGAGGCTAATAAAAGTTTCTTACGGTATCCTCCATAGTGTTGTACGTGTGCTGTGACTGAAGCAATGGTACCTTCTATGAGCCATTGGTTCAGTCACTCTGGTCTGCACCTTTGTGCTTTCATCACACCTTAATGGCTGAATGTGAGCTATGTTTTACCTAAAATAGAATAATTACTTGACTGACCTGTCAGTGTCTCTTATCACACCATATTTTGTTTCACATATTCATAATTTGATGCTTTCATTATGTTAAAAGTTTTTTTTTTGTTTTAGACTCTTAACTCCACAACCTAATAGAAGTATTTACAGTACATTCTAGTAGGAGTATTTGTGATTTTCTACAGTAGAGGGTTTGTAATGAAGCCATTTGTCATATATTCAAATGGGTGCTCCAACTGTGGATAGTAGATGAGGTGTTCTACTGTTTTAATAGTTATGATAAACATAACTAGACAGACCAGATCTTAAGCCACACTAATCTATAATCCAGAGGGCAAGGATCATGTTCTTAAATTCGGATTATGACTCAAAAGCGTTCACTACCCTGTGGCAGACTGCGTACCCTCATCTGCTAACTCCTTGTTTGCTCTTCTTCTTGTTTTTTTAGATCAGCAGGTACATGTCCATGAACAAGCTGAAATACTTCTTTGCCGTTGATACCAGATATGTCATGAAAAAACTCTTGATCCTCATGTTCCCTTACACACATCAGGTAATCACAATAAGCATTCATTCTGGAAGATTTTGTCCAGCATTAATCTGAGGAATAATGAAAAACATGTAACAGTAAAATATTTTCTCTGATATCTGGGTAAAGATACCAACTTATCATTCAACGTAGATATTCAGGCATCTAATCATTCTACTAGCTCTGTTTGTGAACGTTCTATGTGAGTATGAAAAGGACAGTCAGCTCTGTGTACTCCTCAGTACTTGGAAATAGTTAGATTATTTATCAAATAATTCAAACCTTCTGTCCCAAGATTATATAGAAACTGAACTGAGAGCAAACCTTCCTAACAAGAACAGGGTCATATAGATCTCACAGTTATATCCTGATATGTTTTATATGTACCTTCATGAAAACTTCAGAAAGAAGAAAATCATTATTTAAAATGTTCTTTTTATTTATGTAAAGTTGCATATTGTGATTTGAAGTTTTATTTTCATAGGACTGGGAAGTTCGTTACCACCGAGACACTCCCCTGCCACCCCGGCAGGATGTAAATGCCCCCGATCTTTACATTCCAAGTGAGTTTTTATTTTATTCAAATTCTACCACTTTATTATTTCTAGGGTCATGGGTGTGGCAAGTGCCAATCCCAGAATCCCAGAAATTGCTAGTCCAGCACAGGGACATATATAGAGACAAAATGCAGTAATACCATTCACACCTGTGGTCAATTTAGAGTGAATCATATCTGTACTTTTTTGTTTCTTATTAGCAATGGCTTTCATTACCTATATTTTACTGGCTGGGATGGCCCCCGGCATTCAGAAAAGGGTGGTACCCCCGCACATCTGTCTTGTTTTAAGACTAAATATAAACATTTATCTAATGTTCAACAATGGGCCTGTGGTTCTTGTCTCTGTGTGAAGGTTCAGTCCAGAAGTTCTTGGGCTGTGTGCCAGCACTGCCCTGGTGTGGGTCATCATCGAGGTCTTGGTGATGCTCTTGAGTTTGTATCTGTTGACTGTTCACAGCGACCTCTCCACCTTCGATCTCATTGCCTACAGTGGATACAAATATGTTGGGTAAACACACCTCAAATGTCAATATTTCTTCATTGGATTAATTGATCCTTTTTGCCTAATCCAGCAGAGATGACAAATATTGTCAGGCTCATGTTTCTCCTCTCTGACACAAGTGGTTAGAATCCATTTATTTTTTTCTTCTAGAATGATCTTCACAGTTTTGTGTGGCCTACTCTTTGGCAGTGATGGTTATTTCGTGGCCCTCGCCTGGTCCTCTTGTGCCCTTATGTTCTTCATTGTGAGTATTTTGGCCCCTGATTTTTGTCCAGTCTGAACCAGAAAATATAAGTGTGTTATCATTATTCTATTTTGATGCATATGTTTCATAAGGATATTTTCTCTCAATAGACATTTCATCTTTGACTCCTGTGTAGTTTAGGATCAGAATTGATACTGAATATAACTAGGATTATAGTTATTCTGTTTATATGACAACGTCATATAATGCCATTTACTACTGTGGTTCAATACTTTAAAAGGTTTATATTCAGATGCGTTTAGTATATGAAGTCTGCCCCTTGCTGGCATTAGTGCAACCAATAGAATTCCACAGGACAAAAATAAAAACTCAGTTTCTGTTTTTCTATTTTCAACCCCCTCTCTCTCTCTCTGTCATTCCCCTACTCTCTGTCTCTCAAGTTAATGCATGACCAGAGTTAGTTTCTCTGTCTTTATGCTAAGCTAAGCACGATTCATGAGACTGGTATCTGATGTTGTCATTTGCTGACGGGGGGTTTCTACTATTTTAGCACTAAGATCTGCAGCCTTCACATTTGAGAGGAAAATTATTTTTCTTTCCATATATAAAGATATATATATATATGTGTGTGTGTGTGTGTGGGTATATGTGTGTGTGTGGGTGTGTGAGGAACTTTTGCTGAATGTGTTCTTTTCTATTCAGGTCCGATCTCTGAAGATGAAGATCCTTCCCTCACTCTCCTCAGACTCCATGGGAACTGGTTCAAGTGCCAAACCTCAGTTCCGTCTTTACATCACTGTGGCCACTGCAGTGTTTCAGCCCATTATTATTTACTGGTTAACCTCTCACTTGGTCAGGTGACCTTGAGGCCTATGATAACCCACAGTCCGGGTGTACTGGACCCTGGCTTTTAAGGATTTGTACACCACCGGCCTTTACACACTTGTTTGTTATTGAACTCAAAGCGTAATAAAACAGTTTTGAGCTGCAGTGTGTGTAAAGCTTTTTACACGGACATTATCAGTGCAGATGTTTTAATGATTTAACCAGAAAGCGAAACAGAGAATGTCTCTGTGTTTTTTTTCTCTATGCTCAGCAACACTGACAACTGCTTAAATTATCTCCACTGACCCTTAATCATGAGGGAGTTCATTGAGGTTTCTATATGAGTGGGTTTCAGTTTGTGTTTTGTCTTTTGGATGATGTCATGGTCCTTGCTGCTTTCCAGTTTTTATACATCACTGCCAGAAAACACCCACCCACATCATAGACAGAAACACATATACAGTAATGTCACAGGAAACTTGTTTGGTAATGTTGCTGCATTACCTAGCCTTTCTTCTCAATCCTGGTAATTATTTATCTGCATTTTAAAAGCATGGCAAAATTTGGATTTTTGTAGAAAGAATGAAAGAAATAAATACTTAGTGTTGTGTATCTAGCTTCATTGTCCTGAGTGTTTTTTCTGTTGTTACCTTGTGGCCTTAAAAGTAGTATTTGGTGCTTTACTGCTCATAGACCAAACTTCAGTAGGCTCAGTAAATGGTCTCCTGGAATAAATACAGTGCGTATGTAAATTAATTCTTATAGCAGGATTTACATTCTTTTTGTGAAGCAGCTGATAATTGTGTGAATTGTGGTTTAGTTTAAGAGATTACAGAAAAAGTCAAGTAGTTCAGGCTTGTGAGAATAACTATTATACATAGATGATATTATACCCCAGAAATAATTTAAATAAAATTGATGACTTTGATTAAGGAGTCCCGTAGGTCCTATTATTTGTTAAATGGTGTTAAGACATTTTTTAATGTTTTATAAAATAATTTTTATCATCCTACAAGGAAGGTGTTGCGGCGGCAGCAGATTCTGCAGAACGCACGCCCTCTTGAGGACAAACGTGCATTTGCGTCAACTTAAAATAATCGTTCTACATTAATTTTCCCTCCACTGGGAGGCGTGTTGAGCCGAATCCACTTTGAGATATTTTGTATATGGGCAACTACTGTTTGAATGCTAAAACAATTAATAAACAAAGTAATAAATAAATATAAATAACTTAGGCTTTAATTGAAGACTCTTCATCTGTTCACCCACCTTTTCTCATCCTTCTAAAGTTCAATATTCCTAACTTGACATTGAGTTTTCTTTGTTTGTTTTTATAGTACGTTAACAGTGTAGCTGCTACACTGTGTAACGTGTTTCGGGAGCGTGCACGGGGGCGCGCTACGCGCGGAGCGTCCTTTTGGTATCCATGGAAACCCCGGACAGCAACAAGAGCGCGGCGACAGAAAGTGTCCTGTCTGAGAGTCATCTCTCTTCCACACCGCTGCCCAGAGTTGTCTAACAGCTGTTTGGAGGGAGACCGTCATTGTGTCTGAGTTTCTGCAGGTCGATCAGGTGAGTGACTGTTTTATATTCACCTCTGTGCCAGCCTGGGTTTACCTGCCTTTACAAAAGGCGGCTCTCTCTGTGTGAATGCGTGAAACTTTAGATTGCTCCGCCATTTGCTCACTGCTGTGTAAAGCCATGTGCGTTTTCAAATGCAAACTTTCGTTCAAACGTACACTTCTTGTAAAGTTAAATAGAAGTCCGTCAAGTTATCTATTCCCGACCCCTGGAACAATGGCTAACACAGTGGCCTGCACCTGTTTACTTGTACACAGAACACACACACACAGGTTCTTGGTTGACTTCACTTGACTGTTGACTATTGCACAGCTAAACCAGAAACATCCTTGGCCTTAACTCTAATTATTCAATGGTAAAGCCTGACCTTAAAGGTAAAGGTTTTCTAAATCAAATCAAACAAGGAATCAGAGTCAATAATTGTTATTAAGTCATTAGTAATAAACAATATGTTACTCTGCAGTGACACTGTGACACTTTCCAAGTGGTTGGGACATTTCCTTGTTCAGACCTATTAATAAAAACAAACAAGTGAGTGACAGTGATACACCTCAAAATTTCCAGCTTCTTTAACTACGTTACTACAAAGAGAGGGAGACAATTTTTCCATCCTCTTTTGCATAGTTTAATTTTAAGGTTGAATTGGCCTGTAAGTTCCCAGTAGAGCCTGTGTAGTCGTGTGCAAACATAATTTGAATTGTACAGCTGTGGTCACCAGTTGAACCAAGACCTAACATGAGCTGCAGAGTTTCCGATTGTTCTGCTGAGAATGACACTGAGTAATCGATTGTCGTAAAACGTAAATGTACTGCTTGTTCTTGTGGGAAAGTTTTAGTGCAGTACAGCAGTAGTAGTGTTGTGCCAGCAAATTAAACTTTTTGATCTAGGGATCTAAGCTGCATTTATGGCACCCCCTGCAGGGGATGGATGAGGCGCTATAAATGCACTAACAACATTCACACTGCTTTGAACAGCTATTCTTATTGGCTACTTCATTCATTTGTCCTGCTTCACCAGAGTCCACAGACAGGTGTTTGATGGCACACAACTTTTTCATAAAATGATTTCAGTTTTCTGCCCATTCTGGTCCTCCTGACAGGAGGCCTAATTTAACCCATGGCTTTCTAAATAAAAGCCATAATATTTCACACATCTTTTTGCATTTATTTATTATTTTAAAGATTGCCCAGAACTGGCTACATTCGTTTTCAATTCTGTTAATTTAACCATATTACAATTGACATTATTTTCTTAATAAAACCACAGAGCCAGGAACCAGCTCTTGATTCACAAGGACCAGGGTCTAAAAAGCTAATAAAAACACCAGAAATGGCCCTAAGCAGGCAACAGGAGTACACACAGATTGGACTTTGGACGCCTTCTGGTTGATGCTCATCTGAGGGGAACAGAAAAGCTAAACAATAACTGTATTAATGTAACAAAACTTACAATTTAACAAAGTGTAATATAATTGTTATTTTACTAAAAGGAAATGGTTTTCTTTGAAAGTTTAGGTCAGGAAAATATTACTTAAATTAATTGCAGAATTTGTGAATTAAATAACCCTTGACTAATGTTTTTTATAATTTCGTTTATGCGTATTTGCAATAAAACAATAGTTTTAATTTAATTAAATTAAAAACGTAACTATTATTTTAGTAAATAAATATTTCCCTCATATGTAGAAAATTGTGATTTTGGACCTAATACGTAAAACAAGTTCGACTTGATGTGTCCTTTGCCAAGGTGCTGTAATAAACATTGATTCCTGTAACGTTTCAGGTTGGTTACAACTGAATGATCCTGGACGTTTCCTTCTGGGGGAGAGATGGATACCAGCTCTCAGACACTTCCACCCTTGTCTCCATTTCCCACCACTTTTGTAGGCTCTCTGCCCTTCTCCACCTCCTCCTCCTCCTCCTTGGAGCAGACCTACTCCAGTGGCCATATTTCACTCCCTCTCTCACCTATTTCATTCCCCCCGTCTCCTTCCTCCCTGTCTCCAGCCACAGCAGAGTCCACCCACTCTTCCTTCTCTCCACTCTCACACTGCACAGCATCGCAGTGCCTCGAAGAACAAACCATCAAATTCCTCAACCCTGCAAATGTTTCTGACCAGGATGACCTGACCTGCCTTAACTGGCTACATCAGAGGGGCAACCTGCTGCCACTGCAGCCCCTCCCCAAAATACTGCCTCAGCTGGAGTCATCCGCACACACTCAGCCTCCTTCTCCTGCCTCCTCCAAACCGCCTTACTCTTTCAGTAGTCTGATTTTCATGGCAATAGAAGACTCGCCAGACAAGAGGCTTCCGGTGAAAGACATCTACGAGTGGATCGTGAACAACTTCCCCTACTACAGGACAGCCTCGGGGGGCTGGAGGAACTCTGTCAGACACAATCTGTCCCTGAGCAAGAGCTTCAGCCGCATCCAGAGAGACAAGGGCCAGGTGGGCTCACAGTCTTCACATTCACAGTAATGAGGTCATACAGCACATGCACGTGAGGCTCTGCTTAAATTATAAATCATGAAACAGTACCTGAACGCATAAAATGTCCTGAAGCAACACACTGACTGCTGATGTGCTGCCTGCTACTGTATAAAGTGGCCTCATCTTAATTCTCTCACATGTGCTCTAATGTGTCACCGATGCCTTGAACAAAGATAGTCCTGTATTAGGACACTGTGTCAGTGATTTTATCTGGCTTTTATGTTACCGTTCCAGTCGGTGGGGAAGGGATCCCTGTGGTGTGTTTGTCCCGAGTATCGGCCTGCGCTGCTTGAAGTACTTAGGAAGACCCACAGTTATCACAGCACTAATAGCAATTTGATCAACAAGCCTGCACTGTGAGTATTTGAGAATTCATTCTTTTTTACATTTAAATCAATCAATGTTTATGTAACTATAATGACTTGAAATTCATGTTTAATTCCTCTGTGTGTATTTTCTATCATTGATATTACCCGAGACATTTCTCAATTGCTTGATATTACTATTTAATCTTTTATCTTTAATAACTAAAATCGTACAGCATTTTCCTCAATGCTTCTAAAATCGCAGCTGTTCAGTATGTCACATCATCTCCTGCCGCTGCTGAATATATTTACATTTTAATGCCACCCTCTTTTGGTCATCTGCCTATACACTCGTCTAATTATGCTTTTGTGCTGTGTGCAGGTTGGAAGAAACTGACTATGAGGTTCCTGCAGTGTGTGACTCTATGGAAATCTCAGGTTGGTAGTGATCTTGAATTAGCATTGGAACGTTCATGTTTGATCCTTTATGATTTCTTTTACAGTCAACAACATATTTTATTAGGGGAGTAACAGCTTTCTGTGACACTTTTATGAGCGGCAGCTATTCTCCGTCTCTGCAGCCATCCACACATCCAACATTGTTCCTGTGTTTGTGTTCGGTTGTCATAGAAACAACCTTCTATTACCGTGGAAACGCAGCACTAGCTTGGCCCTGAGTCGTTTATCTCCACTCATTTGATTTCCAAGCCTATATGTGCCATACCGGCCTACTGCATCACTGAAGGGTGTGACGAGAGGCCGTTGAGCACAGCATTAATATCAATGTTGCGTCATATGTTTTTCATCCAGGTTTCTAATTACATTCAGCAGCGTTCTCTTTCTCTTTGAGTCGTCACATGTGCCCATGTAATATTTCATCACAACGTTACACTTTGTCATAATATTTCACCAAATCAGAGCTTAGAAACTTACTGCAAACTATTTACTGATTTTAGATCCTAATTAAAGTTATCCAGAAATGAGTTCTACAGTTTCAAGATTCAGTAGATGTTTAGGCAAGTGGGAACAGGAAGGAGAAACACGTACTCGTCTCCACCCATTGTGCTTTCATAATACACACACACAGTTGTGTCTGACAGCGTTGCTGACAGAGCTGTTTTTAGATGAGCGTTGCAGCATTTTTTATGTTTTATGTTTGTGCAGGTCAAATTAATTCAGTATAATAACTTCAACCACATCAAAATGAGTGTCTATAGTGGTGGTTCCCAAATATGGGGGTGGCACCCCACACAGTGGAAAAAATTGCATTGGTTTAGATTTTTATTTTCTTTGTTCAAAGAGAAAAGTCGTTTTAAGGATTTATTATATTTAAAATACACAAGCAAAAACAGTTGAGAATGCAGGGGGGATTCTACAATAATAATAAAACTATAATGTGGGGCTCTGTAGAAACTGTTTGGAAACACAGCTTTATAATATCACATTGTCACAGTATTACTAAGACATTTTGTCTTTCTTTCTTCTTCTAATGTCCTTACCCAGATTCTCTCTGTCAGACTCTCCTCCTCTCTATTCCTTCACCCCAAACTCTGACCTCTGATAACCCAGCCTTTGGTGAAAACCCACCATACCTTCTGACCCCCGACCACGAGGAGCTTGTCACCATGGAGTCAACTGAATACCAGCAGGAAGAGATCATTGAGGACATGGAGAAAGACCCTCTGGCAGACAGTGGCTACATCGAGTTGCACTACTACCAGTCTCAGGAGTTCCAATACCTGGTGCTGCCCGGCGACACCGAGCTGGACCTGGAGACTGTGGAGATCCTTCAGTTGGACGCTGAAGCGCAGGAGGCTGCTGGATCACTGCTGGACCTGGCAGGTGGTGGATATTGATTAGATATTCCATGTTACAGACACAGTTGAAGCTAATGCTCCTGTCAGCTTTGATTGAACCGTTATTTTCTTTAATTGGCTGGTTCTTTGTGAAACACCAATACTGCCCAAGACATGTGTATTGTTGTGTAGTTAGTGTACAATTATAGACGATTTTAGTAAAAGACTAATTTAAATTAAGTTGACATCGTTATCAGGTGTGTAACCAGGCACTTTCATCGCAGGACCTGGAGTCAAACAGGAGAGAAACAAACTTTAAGCCGAACCATTTTAAACATATATCATGATATTTTTTAACTGAGTATTCATGAAACATAGTATTCATTACAACAGGTTTCAAATACATTATTGATAGTATATGCAGGAATTTACATAAAAACATTTCAGTTATATTAAAGGGCCACTAGTAGTGTATGACGGTTTGTTCATATTGTAATCATACACTTTGCAAGTGTTCAGTATTTTTTAGGTGGAAATGTTGCCAGTAAGAAATAGAAACTCTAGGTAGCAATAATGTAACCTATAGAAGTTATTTAAAAGTGGAGAAGGGTCAGAATCAGCTCATAAATGAGACTACAGCACCCCCGCCAGGATGGGAGGAGAACTACCAAATGCAAACACAACATTCCTGCATATTCAACTTTATAAGTCCATTCTCAGGTCTGGTTTTTTGTTTTGTTTTTTGTTTCAGCTTTTAATTAAAAAAAACTCATGATAAAAATGGGTATTTAACACTGTGGTGGTGTGGTTTAACAACTGTGGGTCAAGACCCAAACACCAGTAATAGGGCAATGTTGGGTTGCAGGGCTGAACAATACCACATGACCAGTTTTTTAAAAAGAATTTTAGCCTTTGCTTAAAAGAATGTGTATTACTGAAAGTTTTTGTGTAGTAAATTAAAGTATGTAGGAAATTAGGTTGGAAGTGAAAGACTCAGGGTCCCATGACTAGATCATTAAGAAACCACTGATATAATGTAGTATAATGATGTTTCCCAGAAAAAAAAAATCATATCTAGGGCTTTTAGAGAATATACTAAGCAGCGGACTAAATCATTTCATTTTATTTCAAACATACAAATACTTCACATTGTGATTAATTTATGTTATTAATTATTTAAATCAATATTTGCTTCTTTATAAGCATGGTTTAAGTAGTTGTGTGTAAAATATTTATTTAAAATGTAGGCCTTCATGTAGACTGTACTGAAAACGTAAGGCAGCACTACTTAGTGTGTAGTCACACTGCTATAGCATTTATTTTTATATCCAATTGGTTTACTCACAACAATTGTTACGTTGTGTTCTCCTGATTTTTAGTGTCCACTTGATTTGACAACCTGACTGTGATCTAGTGATCAGCTTAGCTGTAAGATCTTCGAGTTATTTTGTAAGACCATCTCACTGCCATTGAAAGACACTTACACTTACATACCAAGACACACTGCTTCTCTCTTAATAAAATGGTATGTTTTTTTTTTTTAAAGCTGGAGATTTTGTAATCTAACAAATAAAATCCTTTTTGTTCTTGTATATCACAATGTATGTCTTTATCCTTAAAGGACATGGCATTTTTATTAATCTTAATGATTAATCATCTTAATAATTATTTTTTGAGTTACTCAGTTGATTTGTACAATTTAATATGTATAATTAAATATATAAGATATATATTTAACCAATATTTTATTTATCACAAGTCTAATTTTATTTTAACAATTTTGCTAATATTTTAGCTAATATTTAATGAGCTGCATATTGGATCAGGTCCACCTTGAATTGGCCTTTTCTGCGTCCAAACATGTTAGAAATAATAACTTGCATGACATAGATGAGTCATACTGCACGATTCTTCGTTTCGTGCTCCAAAGCATGTTGTATGACAGGTTTAGGGATCTTGTAATGTGGTCTTCCACGTTAGAGGGCTCTGCGTGAACATTTGGCAGACATCTTCTTTTTCTTTCAAGACTGATATCATATCATATCATATCATATCATACCCTGATTCTACTGCCTTTCATTCACAGCCAAAACAAAATTAAAGCAAAACATTAAAGACAAAAACACATTTTACATTTACCTCGCCCTCACTTCCGCATTCGTAATGCTACGTCATAAACTACATTCCCTATGCTTATGAGGTGGCACAGTTTTGCACCTTGGGAAACGTATTTCAGCGGTGCTCCTGAGTGAGTCAGAAAGTCAACTTGAAAAACGCATTTCCCAGTAGGCATTGCGCTGACCACAAAACGGAAGTTTATGCGTCTTAGTGCTTGGAAAAAAGTTTTCATGCTTGTTTTCATGCCAGTTTAGGTAAAAAAAAACTGGAGTTGAAGTTGTGGTTCGGCTCGTACAAGACTGTGCTATAGCCGTTTGAAGACATTAAAGGTAAGTTTATAAACTTCCTTTAATAGGGACTGGCGTAAGGTTTTTTCAACGTTAGTTTAGTTAAAAGGTGAGTTTTCTAAAGCAAACGGTGAATACGTGTTTTCAGCATTTAAGACGGACAATGACACGAAGCTCGTTAGCTAACAGTAGGAAGGCTTAAAAAATGACAAAACAAGCTCTACATTTATTGAACGCATAAATGCGATGCATGTTCGTACGCGTTTTAGCTTAACAAAATAGCCAGCGTTACAGACAGCCATCCTTCCTTTCATAGTGTTAGCAGCAGTCATGATCTTGCCATGTTTGAATCCGTTACCTTGTTACTTTTTGTGAACAGTTGAGTGAATGTGTGTACACTTTGCCGAGAGGAATTACGGATTGTTGGACTTTTTAGTAAAGAGTTATGCTACAAGGCTAAGTTTAGAGAAATGCCCGGTATGCTGCTACTGATGTGCCACACCTTTGAGGCGTTGTATTTTTAAGGAGTGAACTTGAACATTTTGGTATTATAATCACTGTCTGTGTGTGTTGCTCATCATCCTCGTCCTCCCCAAACAAAGACGTTCTCTGAAGCAGTTTACATGGGCAGGACTTTATGAGTAATCCAGTGGTTGGAGGCAAAGCAGCGTGACTTTTTATAAGAGCCTCCCACAGTCACTTTCACACAGAGACCCATATTGTGTCTGGTAGACGGCACAGTGCACATCTGATTGTAAAGTGACACAGGGCCACAGAGTTATCATCCAAACAGTTTAGTGAAGCTGGAACCAGCGTCAGAGGTGTGGTTTGGTGGGAGTTGTTGTCATTTTCCCTTCTTTGAATTGCTGTCACTCTGGTCACAGACTGGAGACACAACCCTAGTAGTGTGTTACACAACAGAAAGGAATGGACTATTTTTTTTAGATTTCCTTCCACACAGTAATGCAGTGTTGTGCTTTCTACATACAGCAGAAATACTATTGTTCAAGTCTCTACATAACTAAGCAGCTTTCAGAAAAGCAGCTTTGAAAAGTCATTCTTTTTACTGTGCAAAGATTAAAAACACAGCACAGGCTTATTTAGGATGCTAATATTAGATAACGTTGCATACCAGACCAAAGTAATACCACAAAATACAAATGTGCAGTTGTGTAGTGTTGTGGGGTTGGTTTGAGAACTGTTAAAAATATGTTAGGGTAGAAGGAAAGAAGATGGCGAGAATATATATCCTACCTATTTTAATATATTCTCTGTCTGTTTGAAGTATAAACTGTAAGGTATGGTGATTATCAGCAAAGTCTTTATCTTTAAGTATAGTCTTTATAAAGAGACATGTCCTTAACTGAAACTGCC